GGCTGCGCCAGCCCAATGTTTAGACTTAAAATATTCGGGTGTGATCGGGGGCTTTGCGCATGTTTGTCTGGTGGTTGGCTGGTGTTCGGGACTGTTTGGGGGCATGTTCGGGGTCAAATTTGACTTGCACAGAAAGGTAGGCGTGGCCTAAACCTGGTCAGACTGCTCCCGAACCTCAGCCGACCTTGGCCGTGAGGTGTTCGGGGGCAAGGTCAGGACAAGGTCGTGAATCATGGTGTGACAGGGGCTTTAGCTGCCGTGTATGTCAGAATAGCCTCTACCAGGCTTCGGCAGGCGGCTAAAAAAAAGTAGAAATTGGCCAAATAGAGAGATAACATGCCAGGAGAGGTGGTCCGCTAGAGAGTACAATTTTTTTTCGGGTGCGGCAAACTGTACTCTCTAGCGGGCCAACTTCCCTGGCATGTTATCTCTCTACGTGGCCAATTTCTACTCTTTCCTGTCGCCACCCGAAGCCTAGTAGAGGCTATGCCAGAGAACCATGGTCCAAAATAACAGGGAAAACCTTCTTCTCCTCCGTTAGAGTCTATACTAGGCTAGTGAAAAGAAAAGAGAACGTCGTGAGCCACACGTTTTTCTCCGGTTCACCTGAGCCCAACCCTAGCCCAACACCAGACGCGGGTTTACCACTAGAACCCAGACGTATCAATCACGAGTCCAACTCTCTAATGAAAACCAGTCAGCTACTTTTAGAGGAATAACCACCTTTACAAATCAATCCCTAATTCGGCGAAGAAGGGGCGGGGGCCAACTCTTACCAGAGTCAAGTGCAGAGGTGGGCGAAACTAGTCTATCGTGGTTGTGGCAGGCTGGCCTCTGGTAGTTTTCCCCCGTCCAACCTAACAGATCGCCCGGTATGAGTGTTACGCCTGTACGAGCTTTGCTATGAGTTTTGTACGTACGCCAGGAGTTGTTTCGTACGAATCCTACCGGAGAACCTAGTTGAGTTGGGTTGGGGAGAGCTCCTGCAGCCCCGAAGAGAACCCGCCCAGACCGTGATAGACTGGACGGTAGGCTAGGGGGAAACTAGCTGGCAAAGTTTCAGCAGGGCAGGCGCCTTACCAGACCCGTGCTGGGTCAAGGCCGAGCCAGGCTGCACTCAGCATTCCCGGCGATCCCGATGTTCCACTCACTTTGTGATAGCTGACACTGGCGAGAAGACTAAATCTAACTGAGACACAAGGTGTAGTCAAGTTATAAATACATCAGGAAAGGACTGGAGTGCCCGTCACACTCAATAGAAGGCCAGCAAGGCTCCCCCTGCTGACAGAATTTCAGTATTGCAGTAAGGAGACATCCGGTCGCAAATTATGAATGTTTTCCCAAAGGCGATATACGAATAATCATAACCATTACATCAAAGGGTGTTTGTAGAGTGTGAAGTCCACTTTTCTCGCCTTATCTGTCAAATAAAGTCTGTGTGAGAACTAGACCCAGGATTTCGCCCCAAGGCCTTGTGGGATGTCTACAATTCCGTGAAGTGACCGACAAGACCCCGGGCATGTCGAGTCGTTCGAGCCTTTACAAGCCGTATGGGAAATTTATTGCTGAGGAAAACAGCTTTTTTTTTCTTCGGCACCACTGGCGCCGCAAAGCTGGCAAGTTTATAAAGCACCAGGTGACACTTTAAGAACCTTCCCCCGACCATCAACCACCAAGGTGGGCTGAAGTTTGGGAGCAGTCTGACCAGATTTAGTCCACGCCCACCTATCGATACGAATCGATTTTGAGTTCAATTTGAGTCACATTTGACTGCTCACCACACCCCGGACTCTGCTGACCTACTCCAAACCACAAGCCAACCACTTCCCAACCATGGCCGGGCCTCCCGTCCACACCCGAATGTTTTAAACATTTTCAAACAGCGCCAGCCGAATAGTAGCAGACCTCACCGAACACCAGCCGACTTTGCTCCGACCTACTCCTAACTATGATTGGGGGGCGATCGGCTAGCGTTCGGGAGGCCTAGGCCAAATTCGTGAATGCGTGAGAGGCCCTCCACTAGAAGACACAACTAACTAATGATCTGCAGAGTCCAAGACCAGTAGGGACACTTATCTAAGTGTCTCACCCCTGCCATGTACCCTGACTCGCCGACACCCTCTTCAAAGAGAAACGCAGACTTGTTTACACCAGTAGATACTCCAGGGTGACCCCCAGGCGGCATGGTCGTGGTTAGAAGTCAGAAGATATGAGGAGATGGTAAGGTTTGGACATGGCCGGCCAGAGGTGTGGCGTGTGTCGTCTGATGACACATTTCTCATATTGGAATCAGCCCCTGTCTCATATAGATGAACATGGCCTCCAGAACCCTGCCGAACTCCCCCCGACCATTATTGAACTCAAATTCGTTTCGATTCGTATATAAAGATAGGCGTGACCTAAACCTGGTCACAGACTGCTCCCGAACGTCAGTCGACCGTGGTCGGCTGGTGGTCGGGACAAGGTCGGGGGAAGGTCCTGAGTGTGCCGTAGAAGTCGTCTCTGCCCTGCTCAGTGTGCTGTGTCCAGATAACAAGAAAAACAAAGCGACACGGCCTTCGTTATAACTCTAACGTCCGATAGAGGAACAAAACCTCGAACCAAACTTCAAGAAGGAGATTCTCGCTACCAGGGTTACGTACTACAATCTACATACACAATACTCTTACCCAAGGTCAGAAAAATACCTATAGCAGAGGCATTACAAGAAACACATGAGGTGTCGAGGCCACAAAAGGCAAGTTTTGTATTCCTTCACCGCCCTCCCTTAAAGGTTCGTGAGCCTTGAAATTAACAACTGGACATGTTGACCTTGAGCGGAATAAGGAAACGATGTTTGTCCTTGAAACGTTGTGGCCGGTAGCCAGTTCTTCAATCCCTATATCCGACCGGCCCATCGGGTCACGTAAACAGACTTCTCTTGGCAAATAAACAACAATAATATGTGGACCTGTGCAAGTTTTAGTTGACCTTCCTCGCCCTTTTTACCTTCCTAGTTGCTAACACTAGAGATAGAAAGGGGCCGCTATAAAAAAAAAACCTGTACTCTGATATTCTCTACGAGCCACCTTTCGGTCATACAAAGTGAATTTCCGTGCAAGACAAGGTTAGATCTGAAAACTGACTTTGAAAATCAGTTTTGCCGCCCTGAGATTGCATTGGGTGCCTTTAAATGTTCTGGTAGACTCATAAACCATGAGAAACTAAACTTGGCACAGGTATTAGGTATTAGGTAAGACCACTTTCAGTCCCCTGTAATAACTGGAAACGGTCCAGGACAATGAACAGAGCGCGTGTGTTGGGAATAGAGCTCCCTACCTGTGTTTCTAATTGCAGTAACCGGGTCTGGTTCTCACTAAACACGGTCATATTTCAAAGGTACATGTAGACATATCTGAGCACAACCTTCACCGCAACTTTAATTCGCTTGGCATGAGTCCACGTTCTTCCTGTGCCGACCTGAGTAAGTTCAGGTACTCCGTGTACTGTGATATCCACAAGGACGGTCTTGGTCATGTCAACATTTGCGCTGAGAAGTCAAACAATTTTGTGAACAGTGTTGTTGAGAATACAGGCCTGTATGATATGATGATCTAAAATGCTGTACAAAATAAAAACACAACCCATTCTGTATAACGGCCCTTCTTGGTTTTCTTTAAGCTGAGGATGGGCATTGCACCGCCTAAACAAAGTGTGACGTTGTGCCCTTATGAAAGGTACTAAACACGACTTTCCAGCTTCACTCAGATGAAAATGAGTACCTAGCTTCGGTTAGGGACGTCGTCCCTCGGACAAGACGTTAAACCCATGTTTGAGCAGACACCTCGAGCACGTTAAAGAACCCACCACACTTATCGAAAAGAGTAAGGTTCCTCCCTGGTGTGAGTGGTTCAAACCTTAAGTCCTATGTCCGCACCTGGGGTCGTATTGAGGTCACCCTGGTTATCGCCGAATGACAGCCGCTCCAGACCCTTGCGACTCAGCCCCACCAATTGTAAACTCCTCACAATTCAGCCCTTGGCCGGCCCACCCAATAACAACAATAGCAATAGAAACAAAACGACAGTACCAGTCAGCTGAAACACCGAGGAAAATCTGCCGGGCGTTTTCCTCCAAGCCAACAAGTTAGACATGCTTCCACCGGGGGCATGTTTGCCCAAGGGCAGCGTTATCACAACACAGAGGCTTGACCCAGACTATATTTGTCGAAGGCCTTTGACACGTCTGTAGATACATCCTTCCCGACCTAGTTTCCCTGTCTTCAATCTGAACTCGGATAGGGCCAGGATAAGCTCGTGTTCTTCACACATTTGATGTAAAAAATGCCGATGGTTGCGTTACAATATCTGTAAAAGAGAAGGCTTAGCATAGTGGTGTTTGACCCAATGAGAAAAATCTGAAAGCATGTTAGATATCAGAAGGTGAAGAGTTGGTAGAAACGATATCGGCTCTCGTCGATTTGAAACGACTTTTCACATCTTTGACCTATATATTAAATTCAAGTGTCTCCGATACATGCTT